CCGCTGTCGGCGTCGCCGCGAAGCCGCGCCCGCCCAAATCGCCGACTCGCGCTGAAGTGCCAGCGCCGCTAGCTGGCCGGCGCGCGCGTGCGCGCGCGCGGACTAGCGCGGCCGCAGACATGCACGACCCTTCGCCAAGCGCCCATCGAAATCGCCGCCGCATGGGTTTTGCAAACCAACTTGCGGGTGGGTGGGTGGGATGCGCGCAAGGGCGCGGCATGTGTCAGCCCATTTGTATACCAAAAACAACAACCATTGCGCCACGTAGATCGCCCCCCATGGATGGCACTGCGTCGTTTGCGTCGCATCGAATGCGCCGCGTAGATCTTCCTCCGAGAAAAAATATTAGGATACCTCTCCTGGGGTGAAGTGTACGTATTGCAATGTACAAATGGTTCTGCCCCATAGTTCATCCTGCATTTGATTCGATGCCATCCCAGCCAGGCCGGCATCGACCCTCGCCTCATCCACTGTAAAAGAACACGATGCGCGAACACTCGCACATCAAAGCTCAGCTGTTCTATATTTATATATATATCAAAGAAGCGCGCGCGCGTCGTCGTCGCGCGCGAAGTCCTGCAAACGAGCTATAAGTTCCGACGGGATTTCAAAACCGAGCGCCCCGATAACATATTAAACCACGCGGTTTCGCAAAAGAGGTTCTCGCGAGAAGTGCGCGCTCGCGCTCTTGCGAAACAAGGACAATTATTAGTTGTTCAACCTTTTGATCGAAAAAGCTACCGAACGCCCCCCCCCCGCGCGCGCGTCGAAAACGCTCGAACGCCCCTGCGCGCGCGCCGTCGAAAGAAAACCTTGCCCCCCCAAATAAAAAATACCGACGTGAGCGCGCGTGCGTCGTCGCGCGCGCGTGCCGAAATCCCTAAAATTTTGAACTGCACACGTAGCATCAAAAACAAGTGCTCCGAACGCACATTAGAATTCACGGTGTTGCAATTTAATTGCCAAACAAGGCCTGCGCTCGCATTGTAACAGTAAACAACAATGTGTCTTTTATTGCCAAACGGGTCTCTCGCGCCGCATGTCGAACTCGTTCGAGCGCCCTTGCGCGCGTGCTGGAGGGGCGCGCGATCCGCGTCGAGTAATGCAGCGCGGCCCGCCCCCGCGCGTCGGCCGCGGGCGCGCGTCGAATTCCTCCCAAAACCTTCATCGCCGACGCGAGGACATCATCATCGCTATCGGCGGGCGCGATCAACATCAACGCCGCCATTGGCATTGCCGTCATCATCGCCCGCATTGTCACCATCATCGCTACTCTCATAATCGCGTCTACCGTTGTCGGCGCCGCCGTGATACCGCGCCCGCCCGGATCACCGACTCGCACTGAACCACCCGCTGGGAAGTGCCCTGCGGTCAGCGCCACCGCGGCCGCGTCGGTCGCGCGGGATAAAGCGGCCGCCGAGATGCACCGGCCAGCGCCAGGCACTCATCACAATCGATGCCGCATGGGTTTTGCAAACCACGTTGCGGGCCGGCGGGTGGGATGTTCGCGCGAACATGGGATGCGGCAGCTCGTTTGAGAGAAGAAAATGTGCGCCGCATATGTAGCGCCGCGTAGATTCTCCTTCCTAGGAACAGAATAGACTCTACCCCCCCCCCCCCGGCGTTATCGGCCCCCCCTTCGGGCATGTAGATCACGTGTGATTCTGGCGGCATGCCCATCCAAAAAATGAATTTACACTATCCCCGGGGGGCCGGGTTCCCCCCATGAGGCCCCCTTTGTTCTAACATAATAGTTTCGCTAATCCCTTCCCAAAAAAACACGAAGTGCACGCGCGCGCGTCGTCGCGCACGCATGCCGAAATCCTTCAAAAACCTTCAGTGCTGGAAGGATTTCGCAATCGAGGTTCCCAAACATACAAAAACACATGGTTTCGCAACACTGATTTGCTAAAAGAGCTTACGCGCGAGCTCTTGCGAAATCTGAACAAAAACAATATGTTTTCAAGATTGACACAAAACACTACCACACGGGATTCGCGCGCGCACGTCGAAATCTGTCGAACGCCCATGCGCGGGTGCCGCCGCGAGAATCCTCTGCAACAGATGGGACGAAGTGCAGACGCGCGCGTCGTCGCGCGCGTATGCCAACCTCTCTGCCGAACTGTTACGACTCGGTAATGTCACCATCGCCGTGCACGTGACCCGCAAAAACACCAGGTTTCGCACACTGCTTTTCACAAAAACAAAAAAAAAAAAAAAAAAAAAAAAAAAACAAAGCGTGCGCGCGCGCTCTTGCGGCGTCGTCGTCGTAATCGTCGTCGCCGTCCTCCCTCCTCCCGCGTCGTCGTCGTCGTCGTCGCCTACGTCGTCCTCTGTCTTTTCTCGTGTTCGTCGTCGTCGTCCTCTTTGGCGTCGTGGTCGTTTCCGTCGTCGTTGTCGCCGTGGTCGTCCTTCCTCCTCCTCCCACGTCGTCGTCGTCGTCCGTCTTCGGCGTCTCGTCGTCGTCGTCCTCTATTGTTTTCTATTTTATTTCTTATTTCATTTTTTTTTTTATTTTTTTTATATCTTTTATTCTTTTTTTTTTTATTTTTATGTTTTTTATTTTTTTTTTTTGTTTTTTTTATTGTTTTTTTTACAATTATTGTATTTTTTTTTTTCATATATTTATTTAATTTTTTTGGGTGTTATTTTTTATTTATTTATTTTTTTTATTTTTTTTTATGCTTCGGGCCGTCGTCGTCGTCTTCGTATCGTCGTCGTTGTCGCCGTCGTCGTCTTCCCTCCTCCCTCGTCGTTGTCGTCGTCGGCGTCGCCGTCCTTCCTCCTTTTTCGTCGTTCGCGTCGGGTCGGGGGGGCCGTTCTCCCTCCTCCCTCAGCGTTGTCGTCGTCGCCGTCGTCGTCTTCCCTCCTCCTCGTCGTCGTCTTCGATTCTACGTCCGTCGTCTTCGTCGGCGTCGTCGGCGTCCGGCTGTCCGTCGTCCTGCGTCGTCGTGTCGACTCGGCGTCGTCGCCGCCGTCGTCGTCGTCGGCGGCGTCGTTGACGTCGTTGTCGTCGTCGTCGGTGTCGTCGTTGTCGTCGTCGTCGGCGTCGCCATCGTCGTCGTCGTTGTCATCGTCGTCGACATCGTCGGCGTCGGCGTCGTCGTCGTCATCGGTGTCGTCGTCGTCGTCGTCGCTGTCGGCGTCGTCGAATTTGTTGGAGACGTCGTCGGTGTCGTCGTAGTCGTTGTTGTCGGCGTCGTCGTCATCGTTGTCGCTCTCGTCGTCGGCGTTGTCGTTGCTGCCAAGTGCCATTTGGTGCCCGCCTCACGGTCTTACAAGATTTTGCAAGCCAAGTTGCGGGCGGGCGGGCGGGTGGGTTGTTTGCGCGAGCAGTGGAGTGGACAACTCACGGCGAACAAAAACTAATTGCACCATATAAAACGTGCTACATATATGGCTTAACTTGATCGAACCACATAGTGTCCCATTTCTAAAAAAAGAATAGACTCTACCCCCCACCCCCCCGTGGGTTGACGCCCCCCCCCCCCCGGGGCATTGCGAACTCAAATTTAATCCGCGCCAGGCCGGCATCGCACCCCCCGCCACCCCTGTCAAATCATACTACGCGCGCCTACTTCTTCATCTTAAGGAAGCAAATATAAATAATTCAATGTAACAGATACCGCAAAGCCATCGCGCGCCCGCCCACGCCAAAACCGTACAAACACAATGTGATTGCAAGCGCTTCAGCATACAAACCAACAAATAGAAGAACAAACAAACAAAAGGTTTTGCAACGCAGAGTTTGTAAATGTCCTGTCCGCGCGCCCATGCTAGAACCATGCAACAACCAGGGGGGTCTTATGAATTCTGCCAAATCCAGCGATGTCATGTCACCGCGCGGTGCACCCGCGATACTCCTGTCATGCGCCGAGGGCGCGAATCCCTCGCAAACGCGCACCGCCGCGCGCATGATCAAGTCCGACGGAGTAGTTGAACTTCCGCGCGCGCGGATTTCCTTTCCAACCTTGTCAGCATCGCCGCGATGACCTGCCTCATCGACAGATGGACATCAGCATCGTCAAGGTGTTTGCCATCATTGGCGCCGTTATCGTTCGTGCCGTTTCCCTCTTGAACTTCGTCGTCGCTGGTATCATGTTCGTCATTGTCGCAGACGTTGCCGACGTCATCTTGTCATCGCGCACGTCCGAATATCGTCGATGTGTCAACCTTCATCATTGACTCACGGTGGCGAGCATCGGCAGTGAGGATGTTATCGTCGATGCCGTCATCGGTGGCGCCGCCGCCCCCCGCATCATGAGTGTTACCAAACAAGTTGCGGGTGGGAGGGTGGGATGTTTGCGCGAGCAGTGGAGATGACGACTTCAAGTTCGGCAGTGGACTTCACCGCGTAAACTGCTCCACGTCAATTGCGCCAACTACATCGCTCGGGACACACGGCTTGGGGTCTGAACTGGCTAATATACTATAGTATTTCTCGGCGCGCGCGTCGCCCCCGGGGGGGGGGGGCGGCTCGCGGGGGGGGGGGGCGTCGGACCTAGGGCAGAAGACAATCCTTCAAGAACACTAGACCCTCCGCGGCCCTAAACACCCCGAACCACAAGATCGTTCGACGGTGCCCTCCCCCAGGATGCAAAAACAAACCGCCCGACATTTACAAAGAATATCAAGGTACCTGCCCGAGCCGACTTCCATCTTACGTTTAGGTCGGGCATGTCCTCCTACGGGCGGATTCTGGAAGACCAATCAAACATTGATGAGATAATATGCCGATGAACAGCAATATCTCCTTTTCATCTTGAGCCAAAATGGGCGCACAGAGGAGGGTGTCAGAATCACTCCTCATCGGGCCTGGCCGCAAACCGGCCAGGCACGACCTAAGTCGTACGCGGGCGCGCCCGAGCCGACGCGCCCAGCTCATCGGCTAGGCTGCGGCCATGCCGCGAGCCCCTCACTCCGCCCGGCGCGATCATACCGCCGCCGGCGGAACCTCATCCAGCCCCACAGGTAGCGGAGCATGGATTCGATCCACTCCATCACTTGATGTCCTTCTGATTCGAGCTCGGTGCCCGATCCCAGATGTTCAGCGTAGCCATGTGTCTCCTCAAAAGGGAGCCACCCACGCTCTTGGTCAGCACGTCCGCGACATTGTTCCTGCCAGGAACTGCGACGATCGAGAGGTCGCCCTTGCCAACACGCTCCTGGATCCACAAGTATCGTGATTGAACATGTCGCATCTTCCCGAGACCTCGCCGTTGGACGTGGCCCCGGGCCGCCGATGAGTCCGAGGCAAGCTCCACCTTCAGGTCCAGCCCCCAATCCGCGAAGAGGCTGTGAAGGCCTAGGCCCACGCTTCCGCCCTTCACCAGGGCGTAGTACTCGCTCTCCCCGCTGCTCAATGAAACCGTCGACTGCAGGTTACTGCCGTGCTTGACTACATGATGCCCCAGCATCGCCACGAAGCCTCCGGTGCTCTTCCGCGTGACTGCACAGCCTGCATGATCGGAGTCCACGTACACCCGGATCTTGTCGAACGTCTTCTGCTCCGTGAAAACCGTCACCGTGCTAGGATGCCGCTTGAGGTAGCGGCCAACCCTCTTGAGCATGAGCCAGCTCGCCTCCGTTGGCGTCTGCATGGACCTGGCGAGCGTCTTCGATGCCTCAGCCAAGTCCAGCCTGTCCTGAGACAGGTAGGCCACCCTCATGGTGAGGGATCGGAAGCGCGAAGCTTCCGCTGCTCCCAACGCCGCCGACTTCGCATCCATCATCTGCTTGTCGGCGCTGCGCTTCTCCGTCGGCGTGTCCACGCCGTTGGCCTTGCTGAGACCCAACTCGTCGATCACGATCTCCGCGTGCCGCTTGTCCGGCTCGATCATCGCATGCCGGCAGAGCCGGCCACCGCCAGGCGGAACTCCCGCACTGACCTCGATGACCCGATTCAGGAAGACCGCCTGCTTGTCATCGCCCTCGTCGAAGCCTAGGTTCGCAGTCTTCTTGAATTCGTACTTCTTGCCCAGCGTGGCCTCGAAGCTGTCGATGTCCTGCTGCTGAGCCAGCACCGCGAAGTCGTCGCCGTGCCCCAGCAGCCTCGTCTCGTCCGCCTCCTTGTAGAAGACCGCTGGGCACGACACGCCCGCCTTGTAGCCGTGTTCCTCCAGCAGCTCCGTGTAGTCGCCCTGCCAGATCTTGCTGGCGCCCTGCGTGCCGTACCAGGACTTGAGGAGTAGGCCGCACTTGTCCTCGCCGTACTCCTTGCGACTCTCCTCTTCCAGCTCCACGAAGATCCTCCGCTGCGCCTTCCCGTAGAAGTGCGCCCTGCTGATGTCGAAGAAGCCGATCTTAAAGTTGCCCGGCTTCCTGCCCTTCTTGCGAAGCGACTCCTGAACGTGGAGCGGCGGTTCCCGCGTCCACGTGACCATCAGCGAGACCAGCGACCGCATGGCCTCCAGAGGAGGCATGGCCGAGAAGACCTCGGACGCCTCCAGCTGCTCGTCAGGGCGCTTCTTCGCCTTGATCTCCTTCACGACGAGCCTGCTCCTGTAGTTGGGCCTCTCCGCGTCACCCTTGTTCGTGTCGACCCACGTGAGTGGGATGGGCGGACGCCCAGTCTCGGCGAAAGCCTGAGACCTCGGGACGATCTCGATCAGCTCCTGCTTCTTGACCCACTCGCGCTCGACCGCGCGAGCCTGGGCCACAAGGCCCGCCTCCAGGTAGCCGCCATTGACGTCGTCCCAGTAACTCGTCCAGTCCCCGGGCGGCACTGCCGCGTCCACAGGGACTGGGCCTGACTGCTGCACCTGGGCGGTGCTGAGCTCTCCCACGTCATTCAGCGTGTCCTTGAGCTCCTCCAGCACCGCCTCCACCAACTTCGGTGGATAGACCTTCGCGAACCGCGCGATGCCGCCCACGAGCGTGATGTGGCGATGCCATTCCGCGCGGCCGTCCACATTGCTGCAAGTGCCCTGCAGCCTCCGGGCTAGGCCTGGATGGTTGGTGACCCATCCGGTCTCCTTGCGCACGAACTCCTCCTGGCCATTGCGGGGGGTCGTGAGCTTCATGCCCCACCGACACATGGGGCCTTTGACCGTGAAGACTCCTGGATGCGCGACCAGCTCCTTGACGATGTCCTCATTCCACGATCGCGCGCTCCAGGGATGCTCATGCAAGAAGTACCTGCCTGGCTTCCTGAGCTGACGCCAGTAGGCGTCGACTGCCACCTTCAGGTGGTGTCTGGCCTCCTCCATCTCAGCCGCCTCCTGCTCATTGGTCCTGAACTTGGCACTCAGGCCCCTCAGCAAGCTGAACTTCTCGCATGGAGGGGACCCCGTGAGCAGGATGGGATCCATCCGCTCCTGCTGCTTCTCGAGCTCCTTGACATCTTCGGGGCGCCGCAAGTCCCACGGCGTCCCGTCCTCCTTGAGTTCCTCCAGGTCCGCCGCGAAGCCCGGGCGCAGCTGAAATTCCGCTGCCCGAGCCGAGAACCGATGTGGCGAGTACACCTCGGCCACGTCCACGGCGCCCAGCTGCAACGCCGATAGGGCGATGCTGTCCACCTCCTCGTCGGCGATGTCCACGCCGGCGCTGGCCCAATGGCCACTGACCTGTTCGCGAACGAGCGGGAGCAACTCCGCCTTCGCTCTCGTCAGCACTCCGAGCTCAACCAGCTCGATCGACGCCACATCGAGGGCGAGCACCCGCATGTGCCTCCCCTCACTGGCGTTCCACACGACTGCCACTCCAGCTGGCAGCTGAGGTCCTTCCGCCGGCGCCGGCTGCGCCGCGAGATCCTCCATGTCCACCGGTACCGGCACGTCTGCCGGCTGTGGATCACCGCGCTCGAGGGCCTCCGGCACATCATCCGGGGCCACCTCTGCCGAGCGCTTCAGCCGCGACCTAGCCGCGGTCATGTCGACATCCGCGGCGGCCTCTGCCGCTCGCGCCGCTCCCGAACTGGAGCTCGCTCCTCCTGAAGGAGCCGCCGCGCCGAAGCCCGGTGCTACCGGCTGGCTCTCTCGCAGGCGCGCCGCCGCGGCTGCCACGGCTGGCGCTGCTGCCGAGCGGGTCGCGGCCGGCGCGGCCGATGCCGCTGCCGCCGCTGCCACCGGCTCGGTGATCCTCCGAGCCGTCTTCGGCGGAGGGGTCCCTGCCGCGGCCGCTGCCGCTGGTCGGACTCTGGCCTCTTGGCCCTGCCTCCGTTCTCGATACTGGCCGGTCCTTTCCCGGCCTGCCTCCTCCGCGTCCAGCGCTTCGAAGATCCTCTTGCTGCACACCGCGTTGTGCGCGTGGCCAGCCAGCACCCGGCCGTGCTTGGCGATCGAGACGCACCCTGGGCATCCCGGCGTTGCGCCCAGCCGCTCGACGTCCGCCTTGAGGACGTACATCCTCCTCGGCGCCTGCGGCTGCGGCGACACCACCACAATTGGTGGCGGTCCGACCTCTCCAGGTCCGACGATGGCCCGCGGCGCGCTTGCCGCACGCTGAGCCACGTCCCACGGCAGGCCCTTCAGGCCATCCCAGCCCGCCGTGATCCACTTCTCGCTCTGCGGCAGGCTGCGAAAGCCGACCGCCTTCTTCACGCCGTCGCTCGTGATGACCATCATCGAGCCGTCGCGCGGGTGGTGGCCGATGTAGCGTGCCTCCACCATCTGCTCCTCCAGCGCGTTCTTCCTCGCGCGCTCCCCGGCGAACCGCGCCATCAAGCGCTCGCCGAAGAGCGGGGCCGGCTTCCTCCACTGCCGTCCCGTGAGCCGCTGAAGAGCGGTCTTGCCATCCTGGCCGCGCCGGTATCGGTTGATTACCGATGCGGCGTGCTCCGGCAGGTGCGCTAGCACCGGGTGCTTGTCCTCCACCTTGACGCCCAGCTTGGACTCCAGGTCCATCTTGAGCGCCCGCACCTGCTTCTTGATCTCGCGCACCGCGACCTCGATCTCCCCATTGGCCTGATGATCGGCCGGCGCTGACTCCTGGGGAATGGCCTCGAGGCCAGGAACCTCCTCCACCGCACGCCTCTTGACCAGCAGGATCGCTGGCTCGCCGTCGGACTTGTTGACGATCTTCCTGTAGCCCAGGATCCGTAAGAAGCGTGCAAAGAACTTGATGGCGTAGGCGTCGTCGCCCTTCTTCTCCACGAATGTCGCCGCCATCATCTTCGAGCGCCGATCCCTAAGGACCAGCATCGGCATGGTGTCCGCGTCGTCCTGGCCCATGAAGGCGTAGTCGGACGAGACCACCGGCACCGCTGTCTCGTCGTCCTCCGGTGCGCGGAGATGCGGCTGGCCTTGGCCCTTTGCCGCAATACACCCGCGACACCAGCTGCGATAAGTCGCGTGTCCCATCGCCTCGTGTTCGGCGATCTCCCTCTGAGAGGGCTCATGAGGTGCCTTCAGCACTCTCGGGCGAGCCTCCTCCTCGCCCTCGTCGGCCTGCTGTCCATCAGGAGCAGCTGGCAAAGCGTCGGCCGCAGCAGCTGCCGCTGGCTGAAAACCCGGCGGTCTCGCGTCGGAAGGTCCCGACCCCGCCGCTGCCGCCCCCGCAGCCGATGCCGCCGGGGGCCGTGGTATTAAGTCCTCCAGTGGGCTTGCGCCGAGGGCTGCCTCCTGGGGACTGTCTTCTCGAGGATCTCCAGCAGCTCCTCCTTCGACTTGCCGCTGAGGAGCTCCACCAGCTCGGACTTCGACTTCGCCGAAAGTCCCTCCTCGAGAGGAGCAACCGAGCCATGTTGGCCCTTCTTGAGGTAGAAGTTGTAGACGCCCTGCTCGCGATAGACCGGCAGCATCTGGTGCTTCGCCGCCTTCGCCTCCTTCTCGAGCATGCCTACCACTCGCTTGCCGATTGGGCTCTTCTCGTGGAATATCCAGCCGCCATTGCGGCCCAGGAATGAACACTGTCCAGCTCCTGCTGCCTGCCCCACCGAGATCAACGGCTTGTGCACGTTCGTCACGCGTCCCTTGAGCGCTCGTAGCACTCCGTACTCGTCCTCCGCCTTGAGCTGCAAGCTGCCCTCGTCCGGGACGAGCTCACCACTGGCCGTGCGATACGTGCTGCCGGTGCCCTTCATTCCCGTCGGCGGCGCGAAGCTCCGAGGGAATGCTGAGATAGCTGCACCGCTGTCCCAGTTGAACTTCATCCAGTCGTCCTGCGCGAAGGGGGAGTGATCGACCGCCGCTACGCCGCGGCCGCTGCCGCTGGCGAGCTCCAGGCAGTCCAGGCTGCCCATGTCCAGAGCGGCGACCTCCGCTTCAGGCTCCTCCTCCAGGCTGCCTGCCGCCTTGCCGCCGGCCTTGCCGCCGCGGCTGCCGGCTTTACCACCAGCGCTTGCCCCCGTTGCGGATCCAGTTCCAGCCCTCGAACTCGATCCCTGCTCTTTCTTCCAGCAGTCGGATGCCTTGTGGCCCCATCTCTCGCAGTTCCGACAGTAGCCGTCGAAGCGCCCGCTGGTGTTTCGAGGTGCCGTGTGCCCTGAACCACGGCCCGAACCCGTCGGGGACGTGCGGGGGCCTGAGTATGATCCGTTCGTCGATTTGCTCTTCCCCTTCGGCTCCTGAGTCTTGCCTTTCCCTTTGCTCTTGCCGTCCTTGCCCTTGCCTTTGCCTTTGCCCTTCGGGGCTCCGAATGACCCGACGTCCATGTCGTCCGGATGATGCGCCCGGGCACGGATCGATGGCTCCTTGATCTTCACGCCGGTCCGAGCCTCCACGATCGTCATCACCTCGTTCAGACTGTCCTGGAACGTTTCGAGCCGATGCTTGTTGAGGACGAGGTGGTTCTCGATGTCCTGAGGCATGAGCATCTCGAGAGCCGCCATCTTGATATCCTCCGGCAGCTCGGCTAGACCATCTTCTCCTTGGCGGCGTTCGTACCTGCCTATCTGCTGGATCCACTTCTCTAAGGCGGATCCCAGCTCGTCCGCGCTGCACTTCGGGGGCGAGATGATCGACCTCAGGATCAGCCTCTTCCTCGGACCTGTCGTCGGATCCCACCTGCGGTGGAGCTTCCGCCAGGCTTCGAGACCGTTCCCATCGGGAGCGCCCGTCACGAGGTCGTTGCTCTCGCTCCCGTCCGCCGTCGTGCTGATCAGCGCCGCGTACAGCTGGTTGACCTTTGTCTCCAGCTCTGGCACTCCGTCGTGCGCCGCCTGAGCCCCCGCGATCGTCACGGGGTGTTCGGCTTCTGCAGCCCACCGAAGAACGGGACGAAAACTCTCTCCGTACACGCCGATCACGTAGTTCTCCATCTTGCGATTCCAAGCGCCGAACTTCTCTTGATCGTCGCCCATCGTCGTGGGCTTGCCAATCCCCTTCGCGTCGACGAGACCGTGAGCGGCTACGCCCGCGCTCGACGCGCTTCTGATCTGCTCGCCCATACGCTCGATCGCCTGCGGAATTGCCGCGAGGCCTCCTGCTACTTGCTGCTGAAGCCGATGATTCTCGCTCTCCAGCCTCCTCATCTCGTCGGCTGCCTGGCTCATCTGCGCTGCGAACTCCTGCCTCAGCAGTTCGAACTGCTGCCGAACCTGCTCGTCCATGCTTGATCGCGTGTCTCTCTGCGAGCTCCTCCCGGCTCTCAGCTATCTGCTGCCTCGTGCGCTCAAGGTCCGTGATCCTGCCTAGGACCTCCTTCTGCGCCTCCTCAATGGCGTCCGATGAGTTCTCCGAGGGATGGTCCTCGATATGTGCGAGGTCTCGGAGCTTGTTGCCAGTCTCCCTCAAGTCGTGCTTGAACTGGAGGGCCTTGCGCCTGGTCTCGATCGCTGCCTCACTCCTCTTGCCGCGCCTGCGGCCGCTCTTCCCGGCCCCTGCCGGTCGCTCGGTCGCTGCCGAGCTTGCCGCGGTCGATGCCGCCCTGCTCCAGTCTCGAGCCTCCTGCCGGCTCGCCGTGGCGCCCGCGGCCGCGGCGCGCCGAGGCCTGGGTGGGGTCGGCAGCAGTGAGTGGCCAGCTCACGCTACCATGATGAGATAATATGCCGATGAACAGCAATATCTCCTTTTCATCTTGAGCCAAAATGGGCGCACAGAGGAGGGTGTCAGAATCAAACATAGCCGAAAAATGTGCAAACAGATTCTCGAATGTTTGAAGGATCGTCCCCACTTTGTTTTTGATTATTGTTCAATCCCCCTCCTGTGGAAGGACATGCCCGACTTGATATTACACTTGGGTCCAACCATGTCTTCGGTTGATGCCGAGAGCAGAGAACCGCGACACCACAACCACCAGCCCCAGGCCCCTCGGGTCATGGAGCAATCACAACACGAGGTGCCAGCCGGGGGCCCTCGCCGGGCCCTGGAATCGCCAGCAAAACGACTCAATGAGGATAGGAACCCTGTTGGGGGGAATGGGTCGAGACCTCTGGGGATCCTCATCATGAGCAAATCTTGGCAAGGATCGACCTAACCAGGGTTTTTCGTTTTCGCTTCGTTTTCGTTTTCCCTAGTTTTGTTTCCGATCCGCTTTTGCTGCAAAACGAACTCGAAAAAAAAACGGCACACGAAATCGCCACAACAAACCGTTTAGGGCGATCCCTGAATCTTGGAGGCGCGCACAAGAGGGAGGCTGCTTCTTAGAATGTGTCGGCCCTACATCTATAGATGAGGCCCGCGCCGTCCAAGAAGCAGGGTTGGTGCTAAGACGCCTTTCCCCCTCCCCCTATCCTTATGTCGAGCATGTCGCCCTGCATATGGATTTCGGATGAAAAACGGAACAAAGTCAAACATGCCCAAAAATAGTCAAGAGGGCACGAAACATCGTCCCGAGACCATTTTTCTGCTGTTCTCGAATACGCCTCCTGTAGAGGGACATGCCCTACAGCCCTTCCCCCCCCCCCCTGCGCGTGGCCGAAAATTATGGCGTCGGGGTCCGGGCCGCCAGCACGAGGAGCCAAAGGGGGGCACCTTCCTGGTGGCTCGGTGGCCCCTCTCCGCTCGAGAGACATCCCCCATGTGAATGGGCCCAGGGACACACACAGAGATGGGCAAACATCCAAGGTTTCTACATACTTTTTACGATTAACCAAACAAGCCCTAACCCATTGGGAGGGGATCTGCGTCAGGAGAAACAAAAACATTAGGGGCATGGGGGTAATTTCTGTACATGTACCAGACCACGCCACCCAGAATTATTACCCCTTTCAATGACGGGGCCCTCAGGCAGGCCACGTCTTCACTCTGTTGTTCGGGTCAGGGGTTCATTCGTCCTCGTTGATCCTGTATTTCGTGGATGTTCGCCTTCCCCTCCGCTTCCCACCTTCTCCATCTTTCTCAGGATCGGCGATTATGTCTTTCAGCGTTTTTGCTCCATCCGGCCCTAATTATCCCCAGCACAGGGAGGCATCGTGGACCTCCTCGCTGGAGGTCTCGGAGCAGGGCGAGTTGAGACAGCGGCAGCACCCGATCAGTCCCGAGACCCCTCCCAAGGCCCAGACGCACCAGGCTTCCGAGCTGCG